CTACGTCTGCTAATCTACCTGATTACACTTGCTATAACTTACTATACTCACTGTGACTATCTTTCATGCTGTGTGTATTTCATCATAGTCACTTCAGGATTATCTTTTGGTAAACTTTTGCTATATTACTATATTTACTATGTTCTTGCTTCTGTTATAGTCAGTTATGGTTCCTAATGTGTTTGTTCTTTTACTACTTTCATTATACTTTTTACTTCCGAAACTTAGTGCAATTTACTATACTACGCTGTACTATTTTGCTACACTCTACTATGCTATAGTATACTGTATTGTATAGTAGCAGCAATGCTACTATACTACTATAACAACACTATTATATAAATTGTATAGTATAAATAGCACTGTTTCGATAGATCAGTAGGACGCACATATGTAAAAGTTTAATCGGTTGCATCCGTTCACGAAGATTTCTTGTTATTATTCATAGCCCAACAAAGGAAAAGATACGTCACTGTTCACGGTGCAGTATGGGCCAAGAAATAATGCACGGTAAGCAGACGCCGCCGTGAATCGCCATGTTAGAACCAATCTTTTTCTCTTTACAATCACATCAACGTGTCAAATTTGAAAATTTCGACGAATGTTAAACTATCATGGTCCATCGAAGAATTTTTTATTAACTCGATCTATAATTGGAATTGTAAATCTCCCAGTTGTTCAGCTTTTCTTTTAATCTGTTTTTCTTCGTCTTATTGGACATTTCATTAGTATCGATGTGCGAATAAAGTGTCTAATCTATAGACCGCTATATATCAATCAATATCGTGGAATTCAGTAACGTGTTATTAGCTTTAAAAGGTGGAATGTACTCGTTGCTGTTAACCTAGAAATGCTGATGTTCATTTTTTGTGACATTATTGTGCCATCATGCAGCACAGTTTACCCCATATACTATATAGAAATATTTGCGTTTCTTTTTTCTTGACTAACTTTATTAACATTAAAATTGTGAAAAAATTGTTCATTTTATGTTCAGAACAATTTAATAAGTACACATTTAGCGAATCTAATTCTTAGATTGGAAAATTTCTTCAAAAATTCCTTAGAAAATTCTTAAAGTGGAATTATAAAAAGACAGGTTATGTATAAAAAACATCCGTTGGAATAATATTCTTTCTCATGTTACGTTCTTGTTAAAGCGAGGAGATCATATGTCACGCATTACTATTCATGCAAAAAAAAAAAAAATATAGTAAACGTGAAGAAGCGTAAGCATACGGTTTTTTTGCCGAACAGCAAATCGAACAGTCTGTACGATAAGAGCATTCGTCATACAAAATGCGTGCGCTGTTGTCACGCACGAGCGTCATGTCGTCACGTATTTAACGGCCTCCAAACGGAAACGGAATAACATTATACCGAATGCGGGCAGACGTGCATATTAGCCGGCTAAGTTTTCAGCTCTCGTCACGATTTATTTCACTTATGATAGATAGCACTTACATATGACAGTCGATCGATATTTTAGTATTGTATTTGTTACAATATATCGTCCCATAAGTAACATCGTTTTTTGAGGTTAGTTTTCTAGATTTCTAGATTTCTATGTAAATCGATTTTTTTCAATCACTAATATGAACCATTCAGAAGCCAAAATGATTAACTCTACCTTTCGAAATACTTCCAATTTTAGTATCAAAGTATCAAAAATATTTAAATATTTAAATTAGTATCAAAATTTAAAAAAAATTTAATAAATCTAATTTGACGAAGTTAATCATTTTAACTTCTGATTGGCTCATACATCAATAGGTGTTTTTTTTTTGTACATTTTTTTGAACAATACTTAATGTGGTAGGTAATTTTTAAATTCTTTTCTATGCTTCTAATTTTCGTTGGAATTCAGTTCGATTTACCTTTTTGTTTAAAATTATAAAATCATCGATGTACATTGCACGTATACCACTCTGTATATGTATGTAAAATACAAACAAGAGACTCGTATTCGTCCAATGCAAGGCAAAAGATGACATTATCCACGTGGTCACGTGACATTCGTCCGCGATAGTCTCACCGTGTCGAGGTTCGATACAATTCGATCGATCGATTCGTGCAAACAAAAAGGTAGAACCAGCTATAGATTCGAAGTCGAAGGCCGGTGTGTTCTGAAGTATGCGAGGCATGTTACAGTTTCAACCATCAATTAAAGTGTAAAATTACCAGTAAAACGTTTCAACAATCATTCTTTATTGGTTATTAAAAACAATGTACTTCTTCTAATGCGACTGAAACAATGTGAGTAATTAAACCGGAATACAATTAAGTGTTCTCCGGTATTTTCCAAGATGATTTTATGAATGCTCTTGAAATTTTTTGAAATTTTTAATTTTTATTTATTTAAAAAAACGTGTTGTCATTAAACATGAGAATACGAATAATGTAGGAGATGGCCCATAAGTCCCTTTATCATTTAAAAATTCAACACCTTTTTCCTCTTGTTTCAAAATTTTTGTTTCAGCTTTTTAAACAATAATAAGTCCTCATAATAAATCACTAAAATATCCACTAAACTTGCCTCACAAGAGAGTTACAATTGGGTAATATCATACGCGACTAAAACTCATTTTCACGAAAAGAAACAATTCTCTCTACTGTCAGAAAAGTCGTCGTGAGAAAAATCGTCGAATGCGCAAGGAAACTGCGACGATGTTTCGACAAAAGTGCGTCACGTTGCGAAAACGGCGACGCGAAAATCGTTAATCATTCCTGCCGTTGACACTCCGTCATATGCCTTGCTTCTCCGTTTTTTTCGTCGAGCGAAAAGACAATGGGAAGAGTAATGTATGCGCGGGAAACAAATTCTTCCTCCCTTTGTCACGCCATGTTGCTTGATAAATCAACTCGTCATCGTGAAGGATACAATGGTGAACAGCTGAATAGTAATTAACGATTTGAATACTGTAGTTTATCGATCTTTTGAAACTTCGCGAAAAAAGCAAAAAGAAGATACGAAAATTTATATTCATCGATACAGATAAAAGTCACTAGATATTACACTATACGTAACTATTTTCTCTAGAAGTTTCGAACAGTGCGCAATATTGTACTAATCAGTTTGAAGATGAAAAAGAAAAAGTAAACAAACAGTCGTAAGCAGTTTCAAGTGACTCTTTATGTTAAACAAATTGAAGATGAGCTTTGTAATCATAATTTCATATCGATCTTTTTTAGACATAGATATATGAAACGATTGCAATAGAGGTCATGGTCATCGTAACTTACGGAAGAAAGCAAGTAGAGCACGGTGTAAGTGTGTTATCATGGTGCGCGCGTATGTAACGGCACTCACGAGATAAAGCTCGTCCAAATCTCTGATGAATTTCGCGTAGAACGCGTGTCACGTGGACCCGATAAGCGGGCGAGTCGCGCGACGCGTGTTATGTGTGTCGGACCATTTCACCCGCCGTTTATCGGCTGAACTTGACCGTAGACAAAATTAACAGACTTCTGAGAATCTCTAGTGAACGTAACTATGATTAATCAGCGTTGAAAATATTTTCTTCAAAATAACGATTCAGAAGGGAGATTGTAAGTAACAGCGATCTACAGGGTGATTCAAAAGAAGGGTTCGTAATTTTTAGGGTAGATAGTACTCGGCAGATGATGAAAAAAAGTCCTAATGAGCATAAGTCGAAAAATGAATATTTTCCAAGTTATTAACAAGTTTTTGTTTGAGTTGAATCGCGTGATTTTCACTGATAATGAACACGTTAAAACGTGCATTTGTGCTGATTAGGTGTAAATAGGTTTGAAAAAAAGATATTAGAATTGCTATTTTTTATTCTTTTTTATTTTATTGATGTACAATTAGATTACCATGAAGTGTAGTAAATAACTTCAACGAGTCTTCACCTGTTCATAGAATTGCTAATTTATTTAACGAAAAAACTCCCGCCTTTTTCAATTATGCTCTTCCCTCTTCTTACTTCCATTTGTGTAATTTTTTTCTTCCACCGACGAACCGAGGAAGCATCGTCGAAATGTCCTTTGAAATTACGCAAATTTTCACGACGAGACCTGTCCGGTAAAATGACACGGTTAATAATAGTAAAGCTGAGACGTTTAGGATGGTCATTCTTGTGTAACGCCACGCGACTGCACTCTCATTTGCGAACAGAACGGGAAGTTGTAACTTTTTCGCTGTAATTTCCATGCGTTTCATTTTACCGTGATAGATAGATTTAAATCGATGAATTTTACTGTGTGAAATGTATTTCCTTCTTTTTTGTATTTATTTTTTTCTTTTGTGAAATTGCCTCAATTGGAACATTAAAATATTTCGTTCGTGTAAACGGGACGAGAATATCGGATGAATGTCACGTAAACGTGACAAGGAGTGTGTAACTTGACGAATGTGAAAAATTTATCGATAAATTTCATTTTCCGATAAATGAATGCCGTAAAAATTTTCCTCGACTTCGATTTCCATGTTCCGTGGAAACGCGGTTTTTTACGTATGCGTCGGGACGCGATGAACGCGATTTCCTAATGACAGATTTCCAGTTGTGAGATTGATTGGTGACTAACGCTTATAATGTAAAACAGGGAAAAACAGCTGACATAATGAACATTTAAGGAAAGAAAATTAGCCTTGATCATCGTTAATCGATGGAAATCTGTCATCGTTTAACATTTATAATCGGTTGTGAATCATTTGAAATCTTTTGTGACGAGACGAACAATGTATGTATATCGCATTCTTTAGTGAAAACTCGAATTTCAATGTTTTGTAGAAGTTCTCACTGAATATTAAGAGAAATTTCTGTTTTCAAAGAAATTAAAATATATTAAAAGATATTACCGCGTTTAAAAAAACAAAGGTTATAAAAATTATGTAGTTTAGAAAATATTATTTTCAGAGTGTTTGAAGAATACTGTGTCAGAATCTATATTATTTTTATGTTCTTCGTATATTTTTATTTTTATTCATAATGCACTTCAAGTTAAAATAATTTGTTTCTCTTACTATTCTGTTTCAGCACAAAAAGAAATCCTCCATGGCGTGAGTGGCGAGTTCAAAGCCGGCGAGTTGGTCGCGATAATGGGGCCATCTGGTGCCGGAAAGTCTACGTTGCTGAACGTTTTGGCCGGCTACACGTGAGTACATATTCCTTAACGAAAAGCAACGCTGGAAAACACGATCTACCACTTCCAGTTATTACACTTGAACGTGAATGTCATGTTAAGTTAGGTGAATGTCGACTTGTATCTATTTCGTCATCGATCTCGTTGCAGTACTTTTGCAAACCAGCCACGAGATTTTACTATTCATACGCACAGCTTTTCATCGTTTTAACGATTCTGTCTCACGCCAGACATGTTTAACTGCACCATAACTCTTATTCCACTTCGAACATAACGGCAGTTGATGTATAGTCGGTGAAAGCAATATAGTAAGGTCGTAAAATCGGTCAAACGTTTAAGTACACGTAATTCAGTCCTCGTTCAATTTGTCTTCGCCTTAATCTTTGATAGCTGCAGGTTAATTTTCATCAATACGACAATTACCATTGAGCACGAAGCGACGGGAGGCTTATACCTTTATGGCTTTAATGAAAGATTGTTAACAGAAGTTTTAAATGTCAATTTTAATGCTATCGATAAATGTCACCTAATACTTTAATTTACGATCTCATTATATCCCTTCCATCAACGGTACATTTCTGATTGACAGATTGGTACCACTGTGCGTTTCGATAAACAGGAAAATTGGAATAAAATTCCTATCCTACGAAGAAACAGTGGAAGATTGAATATTTGTTAGATAGAGTTAGCGTGCACAGATCGTACGGTAAATTGAGCAGCAGCTTATTTAAAGTGCATCGAGTATCTGATTGAACTATCACTATACCTCGTGACTGACCTCTTGCTATGCTTCCTTTCGAACACTTTTACTCGACTTCTAACCGAGACAAAAAAGATTCTAACGAAATACCATTGAAATGAACTAAAAAAGAACAATCGACTTACATTAAATTTTTCCAAATTTTTAATATTTTTTAATAACGGGTACGACGATAAAATATAAGTTTTTAAGGAGGTTTCATTGGAGAACTATATCCCCCATGTTAGTGTTCTAGGATTAAAGAAATAGTCGTATAGTTGCACCAAATGTAAGTTTTATTTTCATTTAGCATTGTTAGTCATAAATGACTCAACATTTTATTTTTTCTGTTCTTGTTAAACCAAGCAGAAGTTCGAAGTCTGCCGATTATCTTTCTATAGAAATGGATTAGTCGGCACGCTTCTATGAAAGAGTCAATTATTCAAATGCATTCGGATACGTGTTTCACATCAGCCTTTCCGTGGACAATTACGGCAATTAGCTCTTCTCGAGTCTCGTTCGGGGAACGTGAGAGGCACGACGTTACGATTTACGTGGAAGCGGACCGACACGAGCATTGAGAACAATACGCGACTACCATTCGAAATGAAGTTTATTAGACTGTTTATTACTGCACCGTGACTTTTAAGACTGAAGATGCTTTACCGTTTTGGTATTCCGTTTCTAGAATGTTTGTAGTTAGAAAATTTGAAATACAGTAATGTTCGGTTAAATTGAACTGAAGTATCTTCCCCCACTCTTCTCCCACTACTCAGTGCCTTGAATTCACCAAACGCAAGCACATCGATAAAGAAAGTGAATAGACATAGCGAGAGTAAACGAGACGCAGCACTTGAAATAGATACCGCCTGTGTTGCAATGTACAATCAGCCAATATAACAAATTTCTATACTTTTTATCCGATCTTTATGAAAGTGGTACCAATGGATTGGCGAAGTTCTCTCGATGAAAATGAGTCCAAACATTATAAATCGGACGATTAAAAGTACCTGTAACAATTGTCACCCGGTATATTTATAAATTGACGGCGGGTAAAACTAGTCTGATTTATGTCATGTTTGGGCTCATTTTCATCAGGAGAATCTCACTAATTCGTTCATACAACTTTCATAAAAATACGATGAAAATTTGAGACATTGAAATTTTTCACATTGGATAAAATATAATACAAAGATAACCTATTGCAGCCAGAAGTAAAATAGAGATCGCGTTACAAAAATAGATGCGCCTGTGACGTTGACCTATTAAACCACTACATACATAGATCTCGCTTGATAGAGTTTGTCGGTGTGGGGAAAACTGATTGAGGCAACCACGTGACCGGTCAATACATTTGGCTCCGATTATTGTTCAGAATGTCGAAATATGTATTCTTCTTTGAAAGTGAAATTTTTTTGTTGAAATCACGTTGACAAAAGGTCGTGCAATCAGGGTGATACCTATTGTAACAAATGAGATATTTTTTTTAAAACTTACGTAGCGACCCTTCTACGTTCTACTACCAGAGGGCCGCGGCCAACCACAGGTTCTCGCTAGTCCTCGTAAAGGCTCCTATTTGTATATATACAAATAGCGTAGAAGGATCGCTACACTTACAAAATTGATTTTCATTTCTTCCTGAAAAATTTAATATTTAATATTATCCTCCACCTAATCTTAAATAGCCTACGCTCACACAATACAATGTCCCATTCTATAGCGTGATCGTCAATAGTAACGACAAAATCTTACAAATAAGTGTATCGATGGTTAACTGTAAATGTTTTAACAGCAGAACAAGAATCTTTTCCACTCCATATTATACGATACTATATTAACGTCATCGGATAAGAGGAAATACGATCTTAAAATGTACTTACCGGCGAAATTTGTATTCAAAGTTCGTTGGTGCGTGACACGTGACTGAAAGACGTGGGTAATTTTAATCAATTTGAGCACAGTTTGTTGACACGTAGTAAATTTCGTCGATAAATCGAAAAACAGTTACCAACTATGAGTTTGCGTAATCGGCTACCTATTGTGTAACGCTCGAACAATTACCGCCATTAATTATGATCATTTCTTCCCGCGTAATTTATTAATGAATAATTATATCGCGGAACGCAATAATTACACATTAATAGTTAATAAACGAACAAGAGATAACTGAAGGATCTCCGTTTTTAAATTGAAAACTGTTGAAGCAAAATGTTTTATGAGTACTGCGTGGAAAATCGACATCCTAGAATATTGGTAGGTTTATGACACGTCCGATAAATATGGTTTAGGGATGCCTGCGAACACCCCAGGTATAAAAGTGCACACTGTCACGTTTTGTAAGCAGTTCTAATTCTTGTCTACATCTGTCTGAACATCTTCTAAAATATAATTATTTACCTTACTCCACACGAGTTATTTATGTAATATAACCCCTCAACAAAAACATCGAGAAGTGTATATCTGGTATTCGAATAATTGTACAACGAAAGTCAAAAAGAGATGATTTTTGTTGTAAACACCATCTGGTGGGGAATGGTATAATTATGTTTATCATAAGAAAGAAGTCCTCGATTTTCCAATGGACTGAAATTCAAACCAGTTCTCTTTTACATTTCGACCTGTAGGATGTTTTTCCTATCTCCGATAAAGAGTAAAAATAAAGGTGAAGGCTAGTGTCGAGCCAAAATTGGTTTGTTAAATGGACAGGACTGCGCTTTGGTGCTCTT